AGGGTCTGCGTGGTAGCCTAACAGTTAATGTGATCATTGAGGGTCTGTGTGGTAGCATAGCAGTTAAAGTGATTATTGAGGCTCTGGGTGGTAGCCTAACAATAAAAGTGATCATTGAGGGTCTCTTTGGTAGCCTAACAGTTAAAATAATTATTGAGGGTCTGTGTGGCAGCCTTACAGTTATAGTAATTATTGAGGGTCTGTGTGGTAGCCTAAAACTTCAAGTGTTTATTGAGGGGTCTGTTTTGGCGGGGGTCGGTCGGTAACTCAGTGGTTAAAGCGTTCGCTCGTCACGCCGAAAACACGGTTCGATTCCCTGCATGGGTACAATGTGAAATCCATTTCTGTTGTTCCCGCCGTGATATTGCTGGAATATTGACAAAACGCGGCGTACAACCATACTCACTCACTCATAAATTATCGAGTTATTTGAGTCTAATTTCTACCTGATAATAACTGAACATAGTTTCGCCAGTATCCTTGCTAATGTTTAGAGGGTAATTTACTTTTCTTACTAAAAAATACTTTTATCTCATTGGCCACTCGATGAGAAAAAATGAAATTTTACAGCAAAGGCCAAGCATCCTCTCTTCATCCTTTTCTCGTTTCCGATATTCTTGCCTCTATGGTTAATAAATATAGGCGTTATTTGTCTTTCCTTGGATATTTGTCTTCACAATACAGCAATGACACATAAATGGCACAATTCGTTTGTGTTAAAAAGACATTCATCCTCCCTATAAATGGATCAATACTTCGTTGATCTTTTAGCTATACATAACCTGTAGAAATAGCACTACACTAAAATGCCGTTATGTATTCACATGTTTAGAATCGAGCTCGGGCAACCGCGCCCACAACTGCGCCTATGTCGAATACTGGACCAATCTAATAACCGAATCTAGTAGCGAATATCGCACAAGCATCGTTATAATCAACCCACTGGCAGTAACATGAACGGTAAGCTTTGCAGAATTTCTGTGTCTATAATTCAACACAGCAAACAATAACATGGCACAGGTGAGATCCCAAGTGAAGATCGGGACAAGAACTGGGACCACTTGCACAAAGCGATCTTAGCGCTAAGATGATCGTAACTCCCATAGTTTAACATAGGCTGACAACAGTCTTAGCACTAAGATCGCTTTGTGCAAGTGGGCCCTGGTCTTGAGCAACTCAAACTTGTCGTAAGAGGCGACTAACGGGATCGGCTGGTCAGGTTCGTTGAATTGGTTGATGTTTGTCATCGTTTCCCAATTGTCTAGATCTATGCTCATGATGTCAATGACTAGATTGTCTGGCCCAGACTCAATCATTTACAGCTGATTCATATAGCTCGAATATTGCTGATTGCGGCGTTAATCAACAAACAAACAAACACGGATGAGATGGAGAGATATGCTTTTAGGCGCAGTGGAGATTTATGGGTGCATCATATGTTCATTTAAACATCTTTTTTCCAATCAGCAGCGGCGACGATACCGAGGATTCATACAGACAGAACCTTGTTTAGACACGATTATTGACAGGCCGTCGCAATATAGTTACATTTGTGCTAACTGTGGCGTTAAACAACACTTTTCCACAAAGGGCATTGTCAGGGAGAACTGACATTCTATACACCATTAAATACTAGCATCTTACGATTGGTTGGTTGGTTGGTTTGTTGTTTAACGCCGCACTCAGCAATATTCCAGCTATATGACGGCGGTCTGTAAATAATCGAGTCTGGACCAGTCAATCAAGTGATTAACATCATGAGCATCGATCCACGCAACTTGGTTTGATGACATGGATCTACCAAGTCAGCGAGCCTGATCACCCGATCCCGTTAGTCGCCTTTTACGACAAGCATAGTCGCCTTTGATTGTAAGCATGGGTTGCTGAAGACCTATTCTACCCCGAATCTTCACGGGTCTACGATTAAGCTTGATTTTGACGTTACATGGGATGCAACAGGCAGACAAAGTATGACGAGTGGGTTACAAACATATTTTCAGTTGTGAGTGAGTTGGATTTTATTCCGCCTTGAAACGTATTACAGTTATGTCACTGCGTGTTAGCTGGAGGTGGGAGAAAAGCCAGAAATTCATCAGATCGTAGACGTTTGCCAACCCGGTGAAACCCAGGAGCACAGGTATGGTGCTGACCAAGGATCATAATCAAGAAGAATCTGGGATTCGAACCCGCGATCAGCGGATCCTTATATATCGGAATTAATTCTCTCTGAAGTTGACTGGTGATCGGTTTCAGTAGGTTTCGTTAATAGAAATATGATGGTGGTTTGAAACAGCACAACTCTTGTCGTGTTAATACTCATATATCATATTCTTTTAAATAGATCTTAATTATTAAAGCCATTAGCCCAATTTCGCCTAGAACTACACTACTTAAAAAACGACTTATCCTTAAAAGGTCACTGTGTTTCATAATATGTATTCAAGCATTCAATCTCAACTAAAAGAGATATATATATTTTCGGTCTCACTAATGTTGTTTTTTTCAAGCACATTAAGCATTTATCTCGTGTGCTTCTGTCAGAATAATGACTCTTTAAAATCATGTAAAGATGTTCTTGAAAATAGTCAAGACTTTGAGAAAGAACATGTATTTGTTTCAATAGTCAATTAAAACCTTCTCAAGTTACGGTTAAATAGAAATGTGGTATATAAAATTCAATATGATTTGTTGATTCTTTAGAGACGCTTTTAACATTCCGTATTCATAATTAATGATCCCGATTAGAAGTCTTGTTTCGTTTTAGATCAGAGCATTGTTTCATTTTTCCTGACATCTCACGCAAGTGGGATTTCATAAGGTAAATCTGACAAAAGACAAACCAGCGTAATGCTCCACTCTACATAAACACAAACGAAAATGCGGATCGATAAAGATTTTAGAAATTGTTTATAAAATGTCATTTTCCAAAAATCCACGTGCTTTGAAAGAATAGTACAAGACTTTTCACGTGGAACCTTAGAATGCTCTCCTTTTGGAGGGAAACCACTCTACCGTACACACCTGGCTTGTGTACAGAGACCGCCAGCTGTATGCAAATGATCTCACGCGCCTTTCTTCTGAATAATTTGATCCCACTTAAAAGTTGGTAATAATGGCACGTCTTATTTTTTAAATGACTTTTTCCACGGAAATCAAGTTATATTTGAACATGTTTCTATCAACATCGAAAAGTAACATGTTTTTGTGAAGGCACATTTTGGCGCTTTTCGTGATTCCTTTTCGATCATGCGCACAAGAACTTTTGTATTTTGGACATAAACCGAGCGGTATTTTTTCAATGTTCTCCATTTAAGCGGTTCATTTAGCTTACTTCTTGTGGTTGAGAAGGTAACATGTTTCTTTTGGCTCTGGAATATTATCAAGAATAAAGGCAAACAAAGTTAGGATTATTTTCACGAAAAGGTAATTTATTCGACATATTTTTGTAATACTGAGCGCAACAAATGCATTTGTTTTAACCGAGTCGATTATTTAGTCTTTTCGTTCTAATTAAATACAGACATTAGTAATAAACCGCATAATATACACTTCTATAAGGATAACAGAACAGAAAGACGTATACATGTACATATATGTACCATATATCTATTGAAATCTTTTCAACTATATACCTATTGACACCTTTGAAACAGTTTTTAAAAAGCCGTTTACTAAGTATATATATTGGCATTAATTTGCCATATACGTATTGGCGCCGCTTCAAATATATTCTTTTGCATCTGGCATATCCAAGTCTGCTTTTCTTGATATGACCAGTTTAGAAGGAATGTCTGCATAACGCTTCTGTATGGTAAACGCACGTTCTGAACCAGTCTGAACCGTGGACTTTATATTACAATATTGTTAAAAGATGCACTGAATAATAACAATATCAGTTTCAATAATATTACTTCAATTACACGACCGTAACAAATCCTCAACTGGTATTTCCAAGATAAAATACTTGATTATTTATTATTAATGACTTCAACATTAATAATGTTAGAAACAGTATTTTGATTTATTAAAAGTCAGAAGCGGAAGTATTTGAATGTTATTTACAGTTAAAAGGATTAATTCCACCTAACCGATCATATCGTGTTAACTCCTCGCAAACTCAATATGATCTCACTTTCCATACTAATCATCCGTACATTGTTCGTAATTTACCGTGCTGAATTCCTCAGTGTTCAGTAATATTATGTATAAATATTTCATGTTGAGATCTATAGCGATTTGGGACTATCATATCATTTGGGTCAGGTAATGATTTAATCATACACCCCACTCGACAACATAACTCGATCAAGCGCCTCTGACCAACGCCAGCCTACTTGGTCAACATATTTGGTTTTATTCCCATTTCACTGCCCACATCATCAAACAAAGCTATTCCTATCAAAGGAATCAGCGGATAATAATTACCGAAATTCCCTCAACACTAAGGATAAAATGTGTTAATTCCAATTAATCAAGCGAGCGAGCACCTTCTATGTCTGCTGCAGAATGCTTCACTTTTGCAAGGGTATGCGCTCAGAATTTGCTATAGTCATTTAATCACAAGACTGTGTGCAATTTGCATCGAATAACGGAACCCTAGCCTTTGTTACCGTGTATTATATTCATCTATTTTTAACAACCACTACCCTATTGTAACAACACGCCTGTCGCGGGCTTCTTTGTCAGAGAATTTCGGAGCTTTGCAGCTTTTCAGACAACCAAGGCAACTCTCAATTGTTCTTCTTGATATTGAGCGGCAAGTTAGTGGAGATATCCCGTTTTCATTTCTCCACAAATCAGCGCTCAAGTTGCGATACCGTCCCGGCGTAACACAATGAATAGTGTGAGTGGATGTGTAGCAGACGACTGCCACACAGCGCGGGAAACAAAGACTATCGTCTGCCGATGCGGCTCGCGACAGGCTCGTGACGGCCTAGGGGCGGGGCTTAGCGCTTGGAATCTACATATGAATGAGACGGCTGTTGGGCTATATAAGCGAGTTCTCACAACACAGGGACGGATCGGACCAAAAACATTGAAGGAACTGCATTAGTATTTCGACGTATTTCAAAGGATTTCCCTTTGTCATACCTTGACAGTGGTTTATTTCGTTTCTTCACAGACTTTTCGAGAAGTTGAGTGGCTTTTGTGCATTATTTTACAGCGTATGTGACTTTTGCTGCGTTGTAAACTTGACCGTCTCAACCTGGTGCGATCCCCCTTTTTTCGTGTTTTTTTTTCGTGGACATTTCGCATGCCTTAGCGCCACGGAGGTTTTTGAAAACCTCATGTCGTTTTTGTGACTTTGTATTGTGTTGACACCGCAAGTGCCTTAGCTGCTGGACGTCAATCTCCCATCAGCCATGCCTAGGGGATTCCTAGTGAAGCGATCGAAAAACACCGCCTACTCCTACAGAGAACGACGACATTCCGATGATGACAAGAGTGACAGTGGATCAGAACATGAGTACCCATACACCAACTTTGGGTCTCCTGATTCGGGGTATTCTGCAAGCCCAATCTCCATGACATTCAGAGAGAGGGACTCCTTCTTACAGGATCGTGACAACAACAACGTCGCTCCCGCTGGCAGTCCCCTTGGGGTGAGTAACACCAACCTGCACCCCTCCCCACTCTACTTTTCGGCGTTTGACAAACTGAGTTTGTGCAATGACAATTCTCCTCACAGACTTGCTGCGAGAAATGACAACCTCACCGTAGCATCGTCTCCACACTCCCCAAACAGAAAAAGGGGGAATGGGGAAAGTGAGAAGAAAACAGTTGGCACAAAGAAACCAAAAGCGGCTCGCAAGATCAACTTTGACATCGACAAGACATCCCCGGTGTCTGGTACCATCATTCGCGACTTCTCCGACAGCGAAGAAGACGGAGGAAGAATTGTCTGCGGCGACATTGAACCCAGTTACAACTACGTCGAAGTCACGCCAGAAGCCAGAGCGGAACTTGAGAAAATTGAAAACAAAATTGGAGACTATATTTGCCAACTTTGTAAAGACTTTTTCGAGGACGCTTTCCAGCTGGCCCAGCACAGGTGTTCGCGCATTGTGCACGTGGAGTACCGTTGTCCCGAGTGCGACAAGGTGTTCAATTGTCCCGCAAATCTGGCCTCACACAGAAGGTGGCATAAACCAAAAACAACCGCCCCCGCCGGATCAAACAAGACCGTCTCACCTGCCAAGATCTTGCCCGCTGCTCAGACTTCAAACGAAAATAATAACAACTTGGAATCGCTTGAGCAGGCGAGAGTACTTAATAATAAACTGTTATCCCCGTTATCTCCATCCACGCATGACAACCGCGAATCCTCCGGTGACGAGGGTCAGTTCGAGTGTGAAACCTGTGGGAAGAAGTTCAGGAGACAGGCCTACCTAAGGAAGCACGTCGCCACTCATGCTAACGAAAGACCGTTGCCTTGCCAGTTTTGTGGGAAAATCTTCCTCAACGAAACTTCACGTGCTAAACACGAGGCGCAGCATGGCCCAGGAAGCAAAGATCTCTCGTGCTCCACGTGCAACCTGACATTCCCAAACAAGATCGTCCTCGAGAAGCACGTGCGTACTCACAGCAAGGACATATACACGTGCAAATACTGCGCGAGTACATTTTACAGTTCTCCAGGTTTGACACGGCATATTAATAAGTGCCATCCCTCAGAAAACAGACAAGTGATTCTTCTGCAGCTCCCTGTCTCAAGGCCTTGCTAGGCCCGTGGGGAGGGACCCTCTCCCTGCGGGGCCTACCAGCCCTTCAGGGTGGGGATAGACGATATAGACAAGGAGGGCATTATATTCTGTGTGAACACTTAAGGTCAGTTCAGTGCTTATTGTGAATCAAAACTTGCTTCTAGAGGAGAAGTATAAACTTGACTTTATCGTGAGTCCATGTGGCCCATGTACTGTGTTTCGCTTGTGCTGTATTCTATTATGAAGTACAGGCGTGAACAAAACCTCCCTGTACAATCCGGGCCGTAAGTACTGTTGTAATAGCTATGTCAACATGCATTGCTGTATCGCTATGAACCATAGTCTCTCTGTTATCGATATCAAGTCCGGATCGATTCAACCGGACCGGTCCATGTCTGATCCTGTTTCTCTCATGTTTGTATACATATTTTGCCATTGTGTTAATTAGAGATCAATACCCAGTATTAATAACGTTTATTGACCAGCTATAGTATTGTTACACAGATTGATTTATTTTTGAAAGATAATTTCTCGAGTATTTTCTGAGTCAGAGCAGACACCAATTAGGACCTTGTGAAGTGTTTACTGAACAGATTGGTATTATTCAAGATTAGCCCGTGACTCATGCGATCGTCTGTTAATTATACTGTTAGTCACTCTCCCATCGCAGCAAAAGCAGCAGCATTCAGGAATTCCGTCGAACAGCACCCTATAAGGAAGGTGTGCAACGCATTACGTGCCTTTAACTTTGTCCCCAAATTGAAATCCTTATTTATTTATAGACCTTTTATTTATTTACAGCACAGAGTTGCTAGTCATATTTATTTGCTTTATCGAGATTTATTTCTACTTATTTATGCTTGTCATTGTGTTACGTTCTAGTCGGCGTTTTTCGTAATTATTTATTTCTTCAATGTGCAATTTTATTTGGATTTATATTTATAATTTTACATGTGTATTATTGTGTTAATTCTAGTCTCATGATTTGCTTTTTAATGTTTTGGTGGTTCTAGTCCCATTATTATTGTACTCTGGACTTAATTCCTAGTCGTATTTATTTAATGCTATTTAACTTTTTGCCTCTTTTGGGTTAACTTTACACTTTTTCTCATTTTGTTATTACAGAGTTTTATCTATACTTATTTATTCACTCAGAATTGATAAATATCCGATTATGGCAATGCTCATAATTATATATGTCACGCAATATATTCATATACAAATATTTAGTGAAGTGAAAAAGACAATACATCAAATATTGGTATTTATCAAATATCTGAAGATAGCTTATTTATCAAAGATTTATGTTTACCTTATTTAACTTTTACATAATTATGTGCAATGTTTATTGAACCTTTATACACATTCTTGTGCAATAGTTCAGAGTAAATTCACACATTATATATTTACTATGATCGGTTGTATTCTTGAGAATCAGTATTGACTGAGAATTATGAGTTTTAAAGAAATTTATATATATTTCTGAACTTTGTGACCCGTATGCAATGTAAATGATCTATATCAAGTGCCTACTGTGAATTGTGTTTGTGCCTACGTGCATGCCTATGGCTGTCGGTGATTAGGATGTATTCATATATACTTAATTATATCATAGTTACTTAACAAAGTGTCTTTATCAAAGTATCAAATCAATGCCTTACGATGTTATCCGATTATTTCAAAGTCTCGGAAAGTACTTTATTTTTACAGAATATTATTATATACCAGTGAGGCAATAAAACATTGACGATTGTACATCTGTAAGAATATGAATTGGATATTGTATGTATATTTTATGGTTGAACTTGAATAAAGATTGTGAAACAAACTTTTGATTTTTGTGATTATGAAATGTGACACTTTCTGCAGCAGCAGTATCGACCAGGATCGTTGTCCGCCTCGGATGTAAGACAGGCACAAAGAACACTGGCCAAACGTACCTTGTTCCAACATCGATCAATAGTATTGTTGGTTTTGTTCATTTGAACATACAAAAGTGATTCTTAAAGTCATCGAAATTGGTTACGATCGGAGGAACGTACACGTGAAGCGTTTGTTAGTCACATGGAAAACTCGGGTTCGATTCCCGTATGGTAAAATGTGTGTCATTCACCGTGTTATTGCTGGAATATTGCTTAAAACGGCGTAAAACCTCACTCGTTCTATTTCATATTATATCAGGAATTTGCCATTGGTAATGGTAGTTGATAGGTATATTGAGTGGGAATATAAGGACGGTTTGGTTGTAGAGAGGGGTAGGGTAGGGTGGAAGTAGTCGGAGAGAGTTGTGGCACTGTGGTTGTACTCGGAGAGAGGTATGGTAGTGTGATGGTAGTCGGAGAGAGATGTGGCACTGTGGTTGTACTCGGAGAGAGGTATGGTAGTGTGATGGGTGTAGGAGAGAGGTATGGTAGTGTGGTTGTACTCGGAGAGAGGTATGGTAGTGTGGTGGTAGTAGGAGAGAGGTATGGTACTGTGGTGGTAGTCGGAGAGTGGTATGGTAGTAGGAGTGAGGTATGGTAATGTGGTTGTACCCGGAGAGGGGTATGGTAGTCGGAGAGAGGTATGGTACCCGGAGAGAGGTATGCTAATGTGGTGGTACTCGGAAAGAGGTATGGTAGTGTGGTGGTAGTCGGAGAGAGGAATGGTAGTGTGATAGTAGTCGGAGAGAGGAATGGTAGTGTGGTGGTAGTCGGAGAGAGGTATGTTAGTGTGGTGGTAGTCGGAGAGACGTATGGTAGTGTGGTGGTAGTAGGAGAGATGTATGGTAGTGTGGTGGTAGTCGGAGAGAGGTATGGTAGTGTGGTAGTTATAGGAGAGGTAGTGTTATGGTAGTCGGAGAGACGTATGGTAGTGGTAGTGGTAGTGTTGTGGTAGTCGGAGAGACGTATGGTAGTGTGGTGGTAGTAGGAGAGACGTATGGTAGTGTGGTGGTAGTAGGAGAGACGTATGGTAGTGTGGTGGTAGTAGGAGAGAGGTATAGTAGTGTGGTGGTAGTCGGAGAGAGGTATGGTAGTGTGGTAGTAGTCGGAGAGAGATGTAGTGGTGTGGTGGTAGTCGGAGAGACGTATGGTAGTGTGATTGTAGTCGGAGAGAGGTATGGTAGTGTGGTGGTAGTCGGAGAGAGGTATGTTAGTGTGGTGGTAGTCGGAGAGACGTATGGTAGTGTGGTGGTAGTCGGAGAGAGGTATGTTAGTGTGGTGGTAGTCGGAGAGACGTATGGTAGTGTGGTGGTAGTCGGAGAGAGGTATAGTAGTGTGGTGGTAGTCGGAGATAGGTATGGTAGTGTGGTGGTAGAAGGAGAGAGGTATGGTAGTGTGGTGGTAGTCGGAGAGAGCTATATTAGTGTGATGGTAGTAGGAGGGACGTATGGAAGTGTGGTGGTAGTAGGAGAGACGTATGGTAGTGTGATGGTAGTAGGAGAGAGGTATGGTCGTTTGGTGGTAGTCGGAGGGACGTATGTTAGTGTGGTGGTAGTAGGAGAGACGTATGGAAGTGTGGTGGTAGTCGCAGATAGGTATGTTAGTGTGGTGGTTATAGGAGAGACGTATGGAAGTGTGATGGTAGTAGGGGAGACGTATGGTAGTGTGGTGGTAGTGGGAGAGAGGAATGGTAGTGTAATGGTGGTCGGAGAGACGTATGGTAGTGTGGTGGTAGTCGGAGAGACGTATGGTAGTGTGGTGGTAGTCTGAGAGAGGTATGGTAATGTGGTGGTAGTCGGAGAGACGTATGGTAGTGTGATGGTAGTCGGAGAGACGTATGGTAATGTGATGGTAGTCGGAGAGACGTATGGTAATGTGGTGGTAGTAGGAGAGAGGTATGGTAGTGTGGTTGTACTCGGAGAGAGGTATGGTAGTGTTGTGGAAGTAGTCGTAGAGAGGTATGGCACTGTGGTGGTACCCGGAGAGAGGTATGGTAGTCGGAGAGAGGTATGGTAGTCGGAGAGAGGTATGGTACTCGGAGAGAGGTATGGTAGTATGGTGGTAGTCTGAGAGACGTATGGTAGTGTGGTGGTAGTCTGAGAGACGTATGATAGTGTGGTGGTAGTCGGAGAGCCGCATGGTAGTGTGGTGATATTCGGAGAGAGGTATGGTAGTGTGGTGGTAGTCTGAGAGACGTATGGTAGTGTGGTGGTAGTCTGAGAGAGGTATGGTAGTGTGGTGGTAGTCGGAGAGAGGTATGGTCGTGTGGTGGTGGTCGGAGAGACGTATGGTAGTGTGGTGGTAGTAGGAGAGAGGTATGGTAGTGTGGTGGTAGAAGGAAAGAGGTATGGTAGTGTGGTGGTAGTAGGAGAGACGTATGGTAGTGTGGTGGTAGTAGGAGAGAGGTATGGTAGTGTGGTGGTAGTCGGAGAGAGATGTCGTTGGGATGCAGCAGGGACTCATGGGTTCTGCTAGACACTGTGGAGGTAGTTAGTTCTGCTGGGGGAGAAGTCCTTAATCCGCTAACGTCGCCATCGGGGTAATAGTAACAATAACGGTAACGTCAATAGTCGCATCAATACATGCACGAATAGTGACAGCATGAACATCAGCTTTAGCAGCGTTGTACCAATAGAAGTCGCAATACGAAATGCAACAATATTAGTAGTTACGGCAATATCACTATTAGAGGGAACAGCAATGTTAATATTAAGGGGGGAAATTGTTTGTTTGTTTGTCTGCCTGTTGTTTAACGCCAGGTATTCCATGTATATGACGGCACTTTGTAAATAATAAAGTCTAGACCAGACAATCCAGTGATAGACATCATGAGCATCGATCCACGCAATTGGGATACGACGAAATGCACCAACCAAGTCAAGCGAGCCTGACCACCCGATCTATATAGCTGCAATATTGCTGAGTGCAACATCCAAATCGTAAGTCGCCTCTTACATCGAGCAAAGTCGCCTCTTACATCGAGCATAGTCGCCTCTTACATCGAGCATAGTCGCCTCTTACATTGAGCATAGTCGCCTCTTACGACAAGCATAGTCGCCTCTTACATCGAGCATAGTCGCCTCTTACATTGAGCATAGTCGCCTCTTACATCGAGCATAGTCGCCTCTTACATCGAGCATAGTCGCCTCTTACATCGAGCATAGTCGCCTCTTACATCGAGCATAGTCGCCTCTTACATCGAGCATAGTCGCCTCTTACGGCAAGCATGGGTTGCTGAAGACCTATTCTACCCCGGATCTTCACGGGTAACAAAGGTAGCAGCAATATCAATATTAGAAGTAACAGCAAAATCAATATTAGAAGTAACAGCAATATCAATATTAGAAGTAACAATATTAGAAGGAACAACATTATCAATATTAGAAGTAACAACATCATCAATATTAGAAGGAACAGCAACATCAATATTAGAAGTAAAAACAATGTCAACATTAGGAGAAACAACAATATCAATATTAGAAGGGACAGCAATATCAATCTTAGAAGGAACTGCAATATCAATATTAGAAGGAACAACAAATTAGCAGCTGTTAAATCAATATTAGAAGTAGAAGAAATATCAACATTAGAAGTAACAGCAATAGCAATATTAGAAGTAACAACAATATCAATATTAGAAGTATCAATATTAGAAGTAACAACAATATCAATATTAGAAGTAACAGCAATATCAATATAAGAAGTAACAGCAATATCACCATTGGAAGTAACAGGAATATCAATATTACGATTAACAGCAAGACTAACAGTGCATATAGTAACAACTATGTCAATAGTAGAAGAAGCAGCAATATAAATATTCGAAGTAGCAGCACAGTCAATATTAGAAGTAACAGCAATATCAATATTACAGTTAACAGCAAGACTTAATGTGCATGTAGTATGAACAATAGCAATATTAGAAGTAACACCAATATAAATATTATAAGTAGCAGCAACGTTAGCAGCAGCAACTTGTAGTAGAAAGTAGCAGTCAGGTACATCGTAGCAGCAATTGTAGTAACATATCATTAATAGCATAAGCAACAAGGGGATACATGTTCTGATGACAAAGCACGAGAACTAGGCCTCATAAGGTCAAAAAATGGCCAGAGCTATGTATTTTTCTTCTCTTTTTAAAACAAGAAGACAGTGTATACAAATTACAATTCGATAAACTTCATATAGGAGTGTGAGAGTTAATGAGAGTATTAAAGAAATGTCTTTTTATTTAATTAATCCTATACAAATCCTTAAACCTAGATATATAATGTCTGGCCAAATACAGCTATTTATTCCTCTAATGGCGTTCGTTCCGATGGTAGACAGTGTGTGTAGACTGTGTAAAGGTATGTACGTGTTGGTCTGTAGTCGATGCGTGTTCGGGTGAAAAGACGGACAAGACAAGCAGATTGGTCGTCATCGTTGTATTACATACGCCCGAGGAACTGGCACAGCCTCATTCACTGTGTTCTTGTTTAGCTGGTCCCGTTAAATCCCCGTAGAATCGGATTAGTGTCAGAGGCTGTGAAGGCTTGCGAGATGAATAGAAGTCACAATGTTGCGTAATAACGACACTGTAATCTTTCAGGTCACTGGACTCGATTTCGGCCGTCGCATTTGATTTGTGTCAAATCATTCAACTAATATTCATTATTAACTATGAGTTTGATTTGAATTGACCTCTCTTTCAGTCATAAGCCATGCGTCAAGAGATATGTGGCTGGTTGTTACGACAATTTGTCTGAGTGATTTGTAAACAGTATTATACAGTTATGTCAAATCATGTCTGCTTATTGTGGGAGGAAAACCCGAAGTGATGCAGGGTTTGGATGATTAACACTTTGGCGAAACACTCGAGCACGGGTATGGTGCTGACAGCCAAGAAAGATTATCAGGGAGAATC